TGGTTTTGCTTTCTTTGGCTTTTCTACACGCACATGCTGTGCCAGCACTGAATCCTGACAGCAGACCTGGCCCACTCCTCCTCTGAAGATGCTGCTCATGCAGTTGGGTATCTGAGCAAAGAGGAGCTCACACACAGCATCAGCTTTCTGCCTGTGGCTCCGGTACTCCTAACACAATAATTTTCTGTGTTTCCTATACAAGGTTGGAAAGCAGTGAAAAAGGATTTGGGAGTGACTACAGGGCTGTCTTGTAAACATGTATTAGCATTAACTTTATCCCCATCGCACCAGTAGGCTGAGCTTTCAGAAGATCAAAACCAAACCTGACCCTGTGCAGCTCCACTGAAATCCCTGCAAGCGTACAGAAAGCGTTCGCCTCTCACTTTGTGGCAGCTAATGGGCTTGTATTGGGGCGCTCTGTTTTCATCTCAAAAGTGTTGCTCACTCAGTAAATGTGTTCTTGTGCTCGCATCCCAAATCAGTATCTGAATCCCCAACTTTGAAGTTTCCTTTTCAAAAAAAGTCCTTTCATGTTCTGCATTTTGAGATGCCACATTCATCTTTTCCCGTTCTCCTCTCTTCAAGTTTGTCCACCAATCATGAATTATATCAACCAGATTACAAAGGAATTATTGCAAAGGTTTTCTCTTTGTCATCAGCATTATGTAGTTTATTAAACATATATTTTGCTATTAGAGTGGCTTCAGAAGCAGTATCTAAATAACACCCATTTTTTCCTTTAGTTAATTGTAAAGTGAATGCCTTCAACCTCCAGGAGATATTTTTCCAAGGAGGAACAAATTTGTTTTTAAACTGAGCAGTCCTAAAAGTTTATTCTAGTCAACACTAGAGATCAATAGACTCGTCTATTTTATGTGCTTTAAGGGATGAAATGGTTGCAACAGATGTAAAGAAAAAAATTATATTTTTGTAGAGGGGGAAAAAAACCCCAATAATTAAATGGCCATTTCCAAGCACAGATATCACTAGGCTGATAGAAGAAAAAGTTCCAAAATACAAGCAGAAGTAAGGAAATTAATTATTACCAAAGCTATGTACATAAATAGCTGGGCATGGCACATTTAATTAATGCGTATTTGTTCAAATATCAGAGATAATTCGTAAGAAAACCAATTTAGCTTCTCCTGCTTTGTCATATGTGCTAAAGACACTATCAAAGTAAAAATTATTCTTTAAATGTATTACTTTGACTTGCTGCTGATACCTAGTAATTATAAATTTAATAACATTATAATGTATTATAACTAAGATTTTTAGCTCAGGTAAATGCTTTACACAACGCTGCTACCTCCTTCAGTTTTGACAGCAGTGCCAAAACCAAGGCTTTTACTCCTACTCTAAATAATTCCTCCCTGAAACTCTCCTGGCACAACTGTGGCAAGCAACCCTGCCAAGGGACGGGCACAGAGCTGAGAGGGTACCTGGCACTGGCACCCCCTTTTCTGACCTGCATTCACTGCTGCCCACTCCAAAGCAGAGCTCAAACACCTGGAAAAACATCTGGAAAAGAGCTGGCTTCTTTCTGCTTTCTCTACGCTCTCAGTTGGGCACCGTTGTGCGGAGACTGTGCAGAGGAGCCGCCTGCAGTGACTGCAGCCATCTGTGCAACAGTTATAAATAGCTAATTATACTGTCTAATATTACTTTCACATTTAAGTAATTATTGTAATTGCTGGTGGGATATTGTAGTCACACTCGAGAGGAGAGGTGATCTGTGAGACGCTGTCTATTAAGACACGAGATGACAACATGAAGAGTCACCTGTCACTGCTGATATTGCAACTTTGGAGGACATGCCCAACTAGTCTTACTGCTGGCTTGTAATCATGAAATTTGTCTTCAAGCTTTTCTTACACAGTGTAAAGCATAAAATCTGGATGTGCCTCTTCTGCCCAGACTGTAAGAGGTAACCTTGCACTTCCTGCAACAGCACTGACTTCGGACGTCAAATTTGCCGTGTTTCCATGAAAACATATCAGTGCATTTCTGTACTGGCTTACAAAAAGAGTGAGGACAGAAGAGGGAGAAAAATTGACTGTGGAAAGTTCCTTGTTGGACTGTTTTCCCTATCATTTTGCACAAATGTGGCTAACCCTAGATGACCCAAACATAACTACTTTCTGGAAAAGCCACTGATCTGTGCATTTAAAACATGATGCAATGTGCTAGCACAGAGAATGCTCGCCCCTGGCTGCTGCTCCAGCTGCAGTGAAGAGTCTTTGCAGGGCGCTTGGTTTCCTCCATCACCTCCAAATAATTTAATGCTTCTGCCCCCCCACTGCACTGGGGGAATATGCCAGAGTTTAGCAGCACTGGAAAATGGCTCGGTGCCCTGCAAGCAATTCCTATTTCGAGCATTGCACCCACGGCCAGACGGGTGGAGAGAGCGGAGGGAGCTCGGCAGCTCATCAGAGGTGCGGATGGAGGCGACGTGGCTGTGTCCAATAGCCCCCCGGGCGCTGAAGCACAGAGTCATGTATGAAGGGAAGCACAGTGGAATTTGCCCAAAGAGAAGCCCAAAACCTACCATATTTTTTCTATTAAAAAGTGGGGGCTTTACTGGACAGCCACAGCCAAGATGCACATTGTTCCTGTGTCACTGGCGGATCTGGACCTCAGCTGCAGGAATCACATTAAGTACCAATTTTGTTGTCTCATTTGATATCCTTGGTTCTTGGCAACTTGTAAACCTCTAAGCTTGCAAGAGACTGGGCTGTCTGCAACCCACCCTTGGCAGCGCTGGAAAGACTGTTTCAGAACAAGAAGCCAAAAAAAAGCCAGCTGATAGTGGCAATGAAATTCGATTTCTCCTGCTTCTGTATGGAGGAGCTGGGGTAGAAAGCCCTGCCTCGGAAACCCACTTCCTTACCACCATCTGGTATTTCCCTGTGGGCACAGGATGGCAGCAGGGAGGGTACCCGGGAGGCCAGTTCCGTGCTCAGGTGGGGAAGGGCTCTCCGGGCCTCTGTCAGGGTGCTGCAAAGCTGCTCCAAAACTTTTGGAAGAGACAGAAGGAGGAGCTGGCACCCACCCGTGGGTCAGGAGAGCCACTACTGAAATACAAAAACACTGGAGGAGGAACCGAGGCCACGTGGAAAGGCTGAACCTGTGCTCCAGTTCCTCGTCCCTACACGCCCGGTGTCGGCAGGGCTCTGTGCAAAGAGGTTGCACGTGCAGAACCCACTTACCTTTATACAGTTATTTCCATGGAGAGGCAATTTAAAGCAGCTCAGACAGGAGCTGAACTTAATGTTGTTCAATTACCTGTGAAGCCTCACGCTGGCAGGAATGATTTATGAACATTTCAGTGGAATTCATTTTGATATGAACACAGCCAAGGATATTTAAGAGCTGGACCCTGCAGCCCAGCACTCCACAATGAAACAGAACAGCATTTTTCTTTGGCCATGTTGCAAACAACACAGAATGCAAATAGCTTTACCGCTGACTAGCCAGATTTTCTTATTATTTTAATCTAAAATCAGGACTTCACATACAGTCTCTTAGCACAGCCTGTCAAATTGATATCCACCAATTAAAATCGTAGCCACTAAACTGGTGAGCATAAGCAACTCTGTACCGTGCTGTTACCCTCCCAGGTGCACGAGCAGGTAAGTACCTAATGCAAACAGAGACTAATTCCAGGCTGATTTATGGTAAATCTAATATCTTCCAATGGTAAAAGCTGCTCTTCCCAGTTCACTCTTTGTTTTGATGCTAATATCCTCTAACCAATTTGTGTTTGATGGGTGCCTCCTAGTTAATAGCAGATTTTTTTACAAAAACTTTCCCAAGGCCTTTTACATAATTGCCGTCTATTATCTCTGTGCAACCCTTAAGAGGACTTTTTTTTTCTATTCAAACAAACAGCTTTCTAAGAGTACCTTTTTTTTTTGGGGGGGGGGGGGGGTGGGAAACGACAAGTTGTGTTAAGGTTTACATTGATTTTAATTCCCCCCCGTCAGAAAAAAAAAAAAAAAAAAAAAAATGCACAGATTTTTTTCCCTTTTCTTCCTAGTTACTGGGACTGGTTTCTGGGTTAGGCTATTCTGATCTGCAGAAATAGCAGTGCGACTGAAAAAGCGTGAGAATACAACCAGCAGCCCAAGAAATTTGGGTCACACAGAGAATCCGCTAATCTAACAGCTCAGTAAGAGAGACAAAATCAAACTCCTTTCATGACGACTCTGTGACTCCCTCTGTTTCGGATTATCCAAGACACTGGCTGATACAGAGCTTTATACCTGCAGCATCACACGTTGTGTTTAAACATCATCGTGACACTTTCTCACAGAGAGGCATACGCTGTATTCTGAGATGCTTTAATCACCACCATTGTCAGCTAATGACGGGTTTAGAGCCGTCATATCTGTCAGATACCTGTGCAGGAGCATCCCCCGCCGCCGAGCGGGGGGAGAAGGGCCAGGCGCTGTCGGGGGAGAGTAGGAGCCTAGGCGTGGGGGGTCGGAGGGAAGGGGGGGGGGGGGGCCTGGGGGTGGCTTTGCTTTGGGCCCGCCCTGGTGCACCGGCTGGCGTGCCGCCCTTTGCTGCAGTATCGGGGTGCTCTGCGCAGGGTGGGGCCCCGCGAGGGTGCAGCCCCCCCCCCCCCCCCCAAGGGCGATCCCCCGGGCGGTGCATCCTCCTGCGGTCCCCTGGTAGAGCCCCGGCTCGGGGGTGCATCTCCCCCGGCCCCGTGAGCCCCTCCCGGGGAAGGCTGCACGCTACCGGGGGATGCAACCAACTCGAGGCGCCCCCCACGGCGCGGGGCGGGACGCAACCTCGGCGGGTTTTCCCCTCGGGGGTGCATCCTGCGAGGTGACCCCGGGCGGACGGGGAGGGGGTTTCCTGGGCCGGGCCCGGCGCCGGCGATCATGCGCAAACCGCGCCGCGCCCCGCGGGGACCCCCACCCCTCCTCCCGGGCCGCCCCCCCCCCCCCTCCCGCCGCCGCCCCTCGGTACCGGCGGCCAGGCCGCCCTACCTGCGCCCAGCAGCGCGGCGAAGGCGAGGAGGAGCCCCAGGAGGCGGCGGCTGGCCATGTCGCGGCGGGGCTGCGCGTCTGCCGCGGGCACGGCCGCCTGCCTCCGCCGGGGCGGGGCGGGGCGGGGCGGGCGCACGGTGCCACCGCCCCCCGCTCCCGCCCGGCCCCGGGGCCCCCGGCGCGGCGGCGGCGGCGGCGGCGGCCTCTGGGGGGGCTGGCTGTGCCCCGGCGGCCGAGGCTGCCCCGCCCGTCCGGTCCCGTTCCTGCCGCCGGGCTCGGCCCCTCGTTTGCTCACCGAAGCGGGGAGGATCCGCGCTGCGATAGCGATGAGGAGATGCGCGGGGGAGCTGTGCGGAAAGGGGGGGGTGGGGGGGTGTGTGTGTGTGTTGGGGGGTGGGTTGCGTTGTTGCTGCCTGGATGTGATGCGGCGGGGAGGGCCCGGCGGGGAGGACCCCCCCCGGGGCTGTGGGGGCCGTGTGTGACGGCGGGAGGGATCCGTGGGGCTGCGGGGACAGTGTGTGCCGGCCGGGGGGGGGACCCCGTGGCTGCGGGAGCCGTGTGTGGTGGCCGGGGAACAGCAGCGGTGCCGGGATGGGGTGACGGCGCAGGCACGGGTGCTCTGCCCCGCTCCCGGGAAGGGGCCTCGCAGAAGCGGAGGGGAGGGAGCTGCTGCAATTTCACCCTTGAATGCCAAGTTTTTAATGCGGAGGTTACGGAGCCATAGAAATGTTGGCTGGAAGCGACCTCTGGAGGTCTCTAGCCCAAACGCCCCCTCGGAGCGGGACCCACGGGCAGCAGGTCGCATCAGCCGTGGCTTTGTCTGGTGGGGAGTTGAAAACCTCCAGGGACAGAGGCCCCTCCACCTCCCTGGGTGACCTACGGCAGTGTTGCCTCACTGCCTAGTGAAGGAGATTCTCCTGGGTCCAGCCTGACCCTCCCACTGACCCCGACCACTTCTTTGGCTGTCGTTCCCTCTTGTGCTGCCTGCCACTGCCAAGAAGAGTTTGGCTCTGTCATTTTAATAACCGTCTTTAAGTAGCTTTAAGCTGCGATTAGAGCTGCCGTCAGCTGCCTCCTTGCCAAAGCCAACAAGCTGCCCCTTGGAGTTCATGTGCACCAGGTGCTGGACCCTCTTCTCTACATCTCTTTTAAATGTGGGGAGGGAATTGTTAATAATGCAGTAAATATATTATTTGTTGATATTTATAGGTTGTTTCACTACAGAAAAGGGGGTGGGGATGCAGCCTATATTTAAGAGAAATTCCTAAAGCTTTAATGGGGACTGAGAGCTTGAAGAAGTGTCTGAGTTGTCCTAGTCGCACCCAAGCCTCACAGCAGTTGGGAGATACTGATGTCCCCGGCTGCTGCAGGTGGGATCTCTTGGTGGGAACAGCGCCTGAAAATATAGTGAGCAAACAGACCGTGGAGGAGTTACAGTCCTGTGTGGGAGATCCCCGGCTTGAAGGATGTGGTGGGGTAGCAAGGGGAGGGATGCTCAGTTGCTGATTTTCATCTATGGCCACGCAGAAGACTGCAGGCTCCACAGGTCCCAGGGCCTCGCCTTCCACAAACCTTCCGGGGGGGGGAAGGTCTTTAAAACCCACATCGGAGCGGGTGTCGGTGCGTGCGGGTCAGCACACTCCTGGCATGCTGTCGGAGCTGCAGACGCTTCTGTACTGTGCAATTCTCCCTGCTGCTGCAGTGACTAATGGGGGTAATGGGGGTCCCGGACTACAGAGAAGCTGAACTGGAGAAGATGCAGTTCAGCTGCTGTACAAGGCCGTCCGTGCCTCTTTTCCTATTTATACAAAGAGAAATTTAGGATTACAGTCCCGTTTGAGTCAAACCAAAGGAAACTAGCAGGACAACATTTGTACCTTCCCAGTCTGGTTCCCCAATAACCTCTCCATCAGCTATTTGCATTTCAATGGCTTTCCAAGCCTCTGGTAATTGTTGGGGGAGGAGGCGGGTAAAAAGGCTATTATGTTAGAGTTAGATCAGCTTTAGCAAGCCTGAAGGCATGAGAGAGCATCGCAGCAGCTGATGCAACCCGTGACAGTATATTGTTTGCTGTTCTGTGTGAGTCTGGGGTGCGCACCAATGCTTGTGAGTTGATTCATAATTACAAAGAAATGTATGAATGTAGCATTCAATTAGCAGGAAAGCAGCAGCAGCAGTGCCGCGCTCCGAAGCTGGAGGGAAACGGGGCAGTACGAACCAGGAATTCACGTTGGAACCGCTCATCTGGCTGAACCCCCCGACGCCCGAGGGTGCCATCCCTGGCCCCCCCTGCCCGGCCAGAGCTGGGGCTGTGTGCGGCAGGCCCAAGACGTGGCTTTAAGAGGGGCCGAGCCCAAGGCAGATGGTGAGCCTGGGGACTCGCCAGCAAGTGACTCAGCATCGCCTGACCTGTGCCCAGGAGTCCAGGCTATTCTTGGTTCGGGCTGTGTTTAAGGCAGACAGCCCAGGCTTAAACGCTTCCAATTGCTCGGCCGAGGATCTGCTGGAGCCTCGCACACGTTATGTTGCTCAGGATTGCAGTGCCGTCTTCCCCTCGGATCGCTTTCCTTCAAGCTCGAGGGGGCTACGACCTTTTCATTTTCTTTTCTGGAGCTAGATTAAATCTTTAAATAGCAGAATAAACAGCCACTGGAGAAACTTTCAGTGGGAAAATATACTGGCTTCCCATTATGTTTTAACAGGTATTATGCTTAGCTCTTCTTTCTTGCTGCCTTTGAAAATCTGCTCCCTGGGCTTAGCATGCTTTTGTCTTTCTGAGCAAAAATACATTTAAAGGGAAGGGGAAACACTGACCAGGAATGGTAATGCTGGGTCAGACAAAAATCTGATTTAGACTCTTTTTCTGCCTAAATCTATTCAAATAATTTAGCAGGCTCAGAACATGTAAGCCATTAGATCTCAGAGCCCCTTGCAGGCACTAATCAATTACCCTTGATAAGTGACGGACACATAAAAAGCATAAATTTAGCTGCTACTGAAGTGCTGCTGTTTTAAAAGCAGAATGAGCTGTCATGTAGCAATGCATAGCCTTGCCACACATTTATCTGTGATGGAATATGAAAATACTATGCACAGTTTAAAATGAACCATTTCAGAGGCTGAATTACATTTCCACCTGTGTCCATCTCTGGTCTGAGGTAGTGTTTTATGGCCCTGTTTCCAAATACAAGTCTTTCTTAAGTAAAAAAAAATGCTTATTTTGGGGGGGTGGGTGTGGTGTCTTTTAAATTCCCTTATGAAGCTGGAATGCATCTGGTCAAATTTTCCAAATGCCTTGTTTTCTGAAGCCTTGATTAAGGTTATGATCCAAGTGGTTCCTTAAAAAAAAATATTAAAAAAAAAAAAAAAGGCAACAAGCAAGTAGTACTCTGAGATGGCAGTGTTACAAACAGCCTCAGCCTGCACCACCCTAGAGCAGCCCTGTGGTTAAAGGACTCGGGGATATTCCCACTCTCCTCCGTCACAGCTACATCACGGTGGAGCAGGAAGGAGTAGGTTTCCCTGAGCGATGGGCTGGCGGGTCGCCCTGCTGCCGGCTCTGGTCCTGCGCCAGAGCTGAGATCCAGCAGACTTTCCTCCTCCAATGCCAGCAGCTGAGCTGGGGGAAGTGGCTGGGGGTCTTCGGGGCTCGGTTCCCCCCCCCAGCCCGCAGCGTGCTGTGGCTGGCTGAAGTGGCTCGCCTGGTGGAAGTCACGGCTGAGTAGAGCTCCCCGTAAACAGACTTACCCTGCTTCTCACTGCCTGCCAAATGCCGAGTACTACTCGCCTTAACCCTCTTCCCAGAGAGCCTCCAGTCTGGTTCCTTGCAGAACTGATGCATTGGGGGATATTTGTACAAGCTAATTTTAAGTATGTAATTCCTCTGCCTAAATTAGATGTCTAGACTCCTGCTATAATCAAAGGTGAGAGGTGGGCTCCTAATTACAGTGCTCTGAATCACACCCTAAAATATTCCTTGTCTGTATGGAGAGCGTGGACACCTTACATAGGTGCTTAAAATGGGTCTGAGTATTCCCTGTTGTGTGCTGGGTGTGCCACTGCGACTGCAAACAAATACAGAACCTCGCCTTGCATAAATCAAATACTTTAGCTGCACTCTTAAAGGAGAAATGTTAGTACTACTCGGATGGAAATTAACTGGAGAGTGCATTTATTTTTGGCCAGTCCCCTGGGAGCACTTGCCAAGCATTACCTCTCATTTCAAGCCTGGCTGTTCCTGCTGAGAAAGTCTGATGGAGCTTCGAGTCTGGGTCAAGGTGAGTGCCTGGCTCTTCGTCAGCTGTCTGTGCCGTTTAAAAGGGAAAGCGGAAAGAAAGCTAAGCAGCAGATTGGGTGTGAGGAACGGTGTGCTCGTGCTAGAGAGTGCAGGAGAGAGAAGAAACAGGACTGTTTGGGTATGGTTTGTGTACTGATTAAATGCACCTGCCGGTCCCCAAGCATCAGTGTACAGTTTTAGAATAAAAATGTTGAATCGTAAATTAAACAGAGAAAATTAATTCTGGCCTCATCTACTCTGGGACGATAGCCAATTGCTTAAAACAAGGCTTAAGTGCACCTGTTTGAAACCGGAGTAACTGACACAAGCCACAGTGCCTACGTAAAAGGTTTCTGAGAGTCATTAAAGCCGTCGTGTGGACACGCTCGAGCGTTGGCAATGAGGACCTCGGCACTGGGTGGACCGGGCTCTCCCATTCTGTGGCAGCACGACCGGGGCGTGCACAGGGCTGTGCCTTGCGGGGTCCCTGGGGGTCCCCGGTGCCGAGCGGGAGCCGGCACGGCTGGGCCACCTCGTCTCCCGCTTCCCAGCGCCGCGTCGCTGGGAGCGCCCTGGCCCAGTGCTGGGGGTGCGCGGCTCTCCCGCTGGCAGGACTCGTGGGCAGAGGCGGTCGGGACTTTATTTCCTCAGAATAACTGTGATCTCAGATGGAAGGACACTGGGGCACGGGGGTCAATTCACATCTTTTGCAAACGCATTAGAAGCTCATGTTTGTTCTCTAGATTCCTGAAAAGCAGAAAAACCTGGTGTTTTCTTTTTTTTTTTTTTTTTTAAATTTTCCACCAGGGACAGAAATTGCTGGCTGAGAATTTGAGGCCTGAACCCAAAGAAAACATGTCTCAAGAAGCAGTGTAACTACTCTGGCCAAGGTTTTTATTTTTTTCTCAGCCTACTCCAGAAGTCTGCAGAATCCAAAAGGGGCTACAGAGTGTAAGGTGACGTTTAGTGGATCAATGAACAGCTGTAAAAGAGTTTTCCTGCCTTTCCCAGCAGTTAATAACTTTGTTGCACAGAACTTAGTTTTTCAGAAAGACCTCATGTGTTTTTTGGCTGACTGAGGACTGGCGAGGAATGTTCGTAGTTACAAACGGGGAGAATTTTTTCTTTTAAGGGGAAAAAAACTCAAACCCTCAAACAAACAAACTTGCTTTCACCAAAATCTTTGTTCCTGTTGCTGAGAGTGTGCAGTATTACCTGCAGTAATAAAATGGTGCATAAAGCAGCCTTATGCAGACTGAGAAGTGTGGAAATTTGAGTGCAGAACAGGTAGTGTCAGGCAATTGAGGTGTCTGCTTGTTTTTTTTTTTCCCTTGCACTGGACAAGCATGATCTATGTGGCTGGGTTAGTGTAACGGTGGGGTGGGCACTGGCAAAGAGCGGGTACAACTCAGGGCTAATACTGCTTGGGAGGAAAGCAGTTTTGTTGCCAAATCCTGGATGCTGGCCATTGGAGGAGAGAGATGACTGTTGTCTTGGCTCCTAAACCTGAAGGAGACTTTTAGCACAGCTAAATTGTGCGTGTCCCTTGGGAAGGGTTTTGAGGCCAAAACCACTAAAACCCCCAGACTTTCATGTAAATACAGTCCTAGGAAATTACTGTGGTCTCAATCTAATATGCACTCTGTCTTGATCAATGTTACCCCTCTTTTGTAAATAAGCGTTTGCTTGTTTACTCATCATTCTACCTGTAATGGAAAAGTTCCATCGAGTATAACAGAAGTTATGTACAGAAAAAACCCTAATGCTTATAAAATCTGAAAAGTTTGGTATTGTTCTTAAGTTATTGTGTGTGGGTTGTTGAGGTTTTTTTTAATCATACCATCAAATTTTGTAATTGGGCAGTGATTTTATATTAAATTTTGTTACAGGCTCAAAACCTTATAGAAACATGCTCATATGTCTGCTACTTTCTCTGTGACTCTTCTGTAAATGTGAGAGAGGGTTAAAAACCCCAAGTGTTGGAGATGGACCAGTTCCTCTCAGGCCAGTACACAGTTGTTCCCTTGTTGGGACTGTTCAGACTCACTACTGGCTGGTAATCTCTACCACATTAGCTGGATAGATATGTATCTGATGTGTTTAAGTTAGTATTATAGGGGGTGATTTTATCAAACCCCGGGGACTATATTAAGTGCTATTATATGTGACTTAAAAATAGGAAAAAAAATCTATACAATTCAGGCCCTTTTCCCATGGTTGTTGTTGTGCTTTGGTCCCAACCCTTGGGCTGGTCTCCACCGTATGGAGTATGTGACCTGACCCCTGCTGGTGGGCCTCGTGGTGACACGAGTCACTGTGGAAGAGTTCACTCAACGCGCTCTTAAATGAGGTTATTTGCCTACAAACCCCATTGTTTCTACTGTTGATACCATCGAGTGGATCTCCAGGTGTAGCAAAACTCCGGGGCTAGCAAAAAGGGGAGCTGGTGGGTGTTTAAGTGCTGACTTAATGAACAGAAAAAGATCTGACACTATTTTGACACATGCCTGAAGTGATTCCATTTTATGCTTGTATGGCTTTGAATTTTTTTCCTGCCTTAATTTTAACTCTTTTCCTTTCCCTCTTACTGTTGCTGTGATAACAATGTTTTCCTTCACCTCTTACCTCCACCCTCACCTCCTATATTTTTTCACATCTTCCCAATTTCAGGGGTATTTAACAGCCTGGTTTCGTCCAGTGCCAGTCTGCGTTCGAGCGGGATGCACGCGGCAGTAACAAGCCTGCTGAGATGCAAAGAGCAAACGCTATCCAGCAGAGCAGGCTGACACGTCGGGCAGACCTCCGGCTGCCGGCAGGTGATTGCAAAGTATAAACCCTGCCTGTTGCAAAGAACAGAGCGGACTCTCCACTAGCACAGGCGCTGGCAGAAAGCATGTGTGTGCTCGGATGTATTCAGGTCTAATGCTGAAGTTTTGTCCTCTGCTTGTCAGTCCAGGTGCTCTAGAGAGGAACTATCTTTGTGCTGAAGATCTTACCATCAAAACAGACTCTTACTGCTAGACCGTAATGTAACAACCAACTTCCATGCCCAGACAGAATCCTGACTGATGTCAAAGGTTTTATTTCCACTGAGAAATTAGTAAGCGCTGCAGATTTTGGAATATTATCAACATTAAAACAACAGTCTGGACTGTGTTTTCACTGCTGTTGTCATGTGAAACACTTAGGGGTGACTATAAGTGTAAGTCTCTGTTACTCTTTCATTTTGTTCATTTGATGGCAGAATTGCTGTCTGCTCAGTTAATTAATTTCTCCTGCTGTGCTCTGGTCTTTCACACAACACTGGGGGAAAAAAAAAAGTCTTCAAGAGTGAGACAATATAACACGAACCCACAGAAGTTGTTAGAGGGACCCAGGGGAGGTGAGAGGTTCTGAAAGTT